ACGCATCGCATTCTTAGATGCGTCTGGCAAGGAACGCATGGCTCCCCTTGGACTCCGACCTCCCCTGAAGCAGGGCCCCGTGCTGGGACCCCCAGCATGCCCGGCAGAGTTGGGCAGAGTTGGAACTGTATTTCTCTCTGGATCCCTGACAGGCAGTGTCAGTCCAGTCGCCCGGGGAGCGCAGACTGGGCAACACGTGATAAATTAACCAGCAGCCAGATGGGGATCCAGGGATCTGCCAGCCTGGGCTTTTCCCTCCTCCGTGTCCCTGCAACCCCGAGTTCATCCCTGGGGGTCTCACCCTCAGAGTCTGTCCCCTGCCAGCCCATGAAGCTCCCCAAGGCAGGATGTGATCTGATTGTTTCTGTGCCTGGAGCATGAGGCCTGCACAGAGGAGGTCTCAGTGAATGTCTGTGGAGTGAGGGAATGGATGGATGAATGAGCAGGAGCAGTATGGTGGGAAAGGGAGACACGGAGGCGGGGGGAGATGGAAGACAAGGAGACGGAGAAGCCCCAAGGCTCAGGCGGAACGGGAGGCAGGATGCCGGCCTCTAAGGGGAGAGTAAGGCAGGCGGGAGAGGTTCAGATCGAGAGCGGGTGGAGCGGGGTGAAATGCAGGAGGGGGAGAGGAGGGGGAGAGGGCCGGGCAGGGGATGGAGCGGATGGGGGTGGGGCTCAAGAACGAGGAAGGGGCTGTCGGGGGCAGCAGGCGGCGGTGGTCGGGAGGGTGGCTGCGGATGAGGGATGCAGAGGAGGGGCGGGGTCGAGGCCCGGGCTGCGGACCCAGGGCCGGACCCAGGTGGGGGACCGCGGCCAAGGGTGAGGGGCGGCGCGGGCCGCGGGCCCGGGCGGGGCCGGGGGCGGGGCGCGCAGGGCGGGGCCGCGCGCGGACAGACTGGCACGCGGACAGACAGACCGACGGCCCCGAGGGCCCCTCACCACCATGGTCGCGGTAGCCTCCTTCAGACCCAGGCGGCTTTCGAGCCCTCGTTCGTAATCCTCGCCGCCGCCGCCGCCGCCGCCGCCATGGTGACACAAAGGGGAGGGCGTGGGGCGCGCGCGGGCGGCCGCAGGCCCCGCCCCTAACGGCTGCCGGGCGGGGGGGAGTTGTAGCGCGCGCGCCCCACGCGGGGCGGGCCAGCGGGCACGCGGAGGCCCTTCTCATTGGCTCCGATCTTGGCCAGAGCGGTAGGCCCCGCCTACAACGCGGATGGTTATTGGCTGGGCTGAGGCTCCACCCCCTAGGCCCTGCCCTCCGGTCCCGCCCCCCCAAGTTTGACAGCGCCACGCCCACGGCTGCTTGGCATTGGCGGTCAGCGCCCTCCTGAGATACAACACCCCGGGTTCTTTATGCTCCGCCGCTGCCACTTGGTTCCCTAATCAGTCCGCCGTTTCCCTCGCCCGCGGCCGCTCCTCGCGTGGATTGGGTTTCCTTACGGCCCTCAAGCAGCCTGTTCCAAGTGTGGGTCCTGCAGCCCCACTCGGCCAGCCTTGATCCTGACCCCACCCACGAGCTTCTTGATCCGGCACACCCTCGGCTCTGTGCGACTTTGGCCTCACCCCATCCGTTAGACGTTTTCCCTTGTTTCCCCATATTCGCTTATTACAGGCCAGCCTCCAGTTTCTGACTCCTTTTTTTCTGGGAAAAGCTTCCGTGTGGAAGGCTAGAAGAACATTCATGCCTCTCAGTCTCACGATAGAGCAGTGCCCAGAAAGCCTTGCAGCCACACCCTTTCCGGAAGGATGCTTTCACCGATGAGGACCTGAACAGGGAGGGCCCTCCTCTCGAGAGCACGCCCCTGGTCCATGTGTTCAGAGACTATGATCATTGAATTAGGAGACACACCAATAATAAAAACAAGAAAAAAAAAAAAACAGCCTTACCCACATGGAAGCTCAGACTTCTTCAGGCAGCCTGCTAGTCCTCCCTCTCAACTCGATCAGGATGTTATTATAAACATCTTTTATTGTTCCTTGTGTCTAAACAGCTACTTCCTTTCTGATTCAATCAAATGTGTGGTTTGCTCAAAAAGGCTGAAAACACGTGTTTACCTTCTGTCATAGAGAACTGCCTGTTAGAAATTCGTCCCATTTCTCTTCATAAGTACATATATCAAAACAACCCTGATCATATAGTCACCATCATTTTACATATGAAGATATGGCAAGTTGACACCCACATATCCACCAGCTGGATCGTAGCCACTAACATTTTACTGTATTCATTTTATCTCACATCTGCCTACTACTTTATTCATCCCTCCAAATCGTCTTTGGGTGCATTTCAAAACAAATTAGGCTGGGTGTGGGGGCACACACCTGTAATCCCAGCACTTGGGGTGTGAAGGCAGTCAGGAGACTCCGAAGTTCAAAGAAAGGTTTGGCTACATAGTGAGTTGGAGCCTGGGCTATCTAAGACCCTGTTTCAAAAGGACAAATAAACCATTTCATCCATAGCATCCTGGAATGCACCTGATTTCATTTTTTTAAAAATTGGTATTGGCATCTAAGTATTTCAACATGCATTTTTTTTGTTTTCTTTTGTGACAGAGTTTTACTATGTATCCTTGGCTGGCCTGGATTTCCCTATGTACATCAAGTTATTTTTATTTATTTTTATTTTTTTGGTTTTTCGAGACAGGGTTTCTCTGTATTGTTTTGGAGGCTGTCGGTCCAGCCCGGCCTCGAACTCACAGAGATCTGCCTGCCTCTGCCTCCCGAGTGCTGGGACTAAAGGCGCGCGTCACCACCACCCGGCCATCAAGTTATTTTTAAACTCACAGAGATCACCTGCCTCTGCTGGGATTAAAGATGAGTTCAACTATGCCCAGATAGCATGCAACTCCTCAACTAGAAGTCAGTATGTTTTTCTTTTGAGGAAAACCACTGTGGTGGTTTGGATGAAATGGTCTCCATGGGCTCATGTTTAACTACTTGGTCCCCAATGGGTGGAACTGTTTGGGAAGGATTAGGTGTGGCCTTGTAGGAGGGGTGTGTCACAGAGCGTAGGCTCTGAGCTTTCAAAAGACTCCCACTCCCGGTGTCTCTCTGTCTCTGCCTCGTGTCTGTGTCTCAAGATGTGAGCTCTCAGCTTCCGCTCCAGGGCCAGGCCTGCCCGCCTGCTGCCACGCTCCCCGACGTGATGGCCATGGCTTCTCACCCTCTGAAACTGTAGCACCCAAATAAACTCTTTCTTTTATAAGTCGCCTTGGTCATGGTGTCTTATTACAGCAATAGAAAAGTAAAACAGGCTAGAAAAATGACTCAGAAGCTGAGAGCACTAGCTGCTCTTCCAGAGGACCTGGGTTCAATTCCCAGCACCCACATACCAGCTCACAACTGTTTGTAACTCCAAGACCTGACACCCTCAAACAGACATACATGCAGGCAAAACACCGATGCAAAATAAACCTGTCTCAAAAGAGAGAGAGAGTGATGGGAGATGCCATTCTGTAAATCTGTCTCTTATTGGTTGTTGAATAAAGCACTGTTGGCCAATAGGGAAGTAAGATAGGTGGGACTAGGAGTCGAGGAGGACTCTGGGGAGGAGAAACACAGGGAGTCACGATGTAGCCGCCATAGGGGTAAGAAATCCGGACCTTTTCTCCGGTAAGAGAAATACTGAGATGGGATAAAAACTTAAGTTAGAGATAGCCAGTAAGAAACAAGTAAATGGCCAACAGCTTCATAATTAATACAGCCTCCTGTGTGTTATTTGGGGACTGCAACATGGCAGAGCCCAGGCGACTGGTGGGGAAAAACCAAAGTGGCTGGCAAGGAAAAGGCTTCACTCAACAACAGAGAGAGAGAGAGAGAGAGAGAGAGAGAGAGAGAGAGAGAGAGAGAGAGAGAAATACATGAAAGAAAAGGTAAAACAGCTGCATATAATGAAATTCACCAATCTCAAACTGAGCTCAGTGGGTACATCCTTGTGTTTCATCCCCAGTATAACAACTGATGTTTTGTTTTGTTTTTTCTTTTAACACAGAGTCTCACTATGAGGGCGTCCTCAAAGTTGAGATCCTCCTGCTTCAGACTCCTAGGATTCCAGCAACCAGATTTTATTGCATCTCTAAATCAGAGAAAATAAAAGGAAAAGGAAAATGGGTGGGCAGTACCCACTTTTCTTTCTTTCTTTTTTTTTTTTTTTTTTTTTTTTTTGGTTTTTCGAGACAGGGTTTCTCTGTATTGTCTTGGAGGCTGCCCTGGAACTCGCTCTGTAGACCAGGCTGGTCTCGAACTCACATAGATCTGCCTGCCTCTTTGCCTCCCGAGTGCTGGAATCAAAGGCGTGCGCCACCAACGCCCGGCCAGTACCCACTTTTCTAAGTGAAGCTGCATCCCTTTGGTTGTATTCGATGTGGCCGAAGAGAAATGTTTCTAGAGAAAGAGACGGGCTGTCTTCTGGATGGCAAGTGTATCAGGGAGTGGGCGGATGTGTTTATAGTAATGACGAGTTTTCAATGGTACAGGCAGGAAGGAGGTAGCCTAGATGGAGGGACAGCAATGGAAGGAGTTGGATTCTGATGGATTCTAAAGAGAACAGAAAGTCAGGATCTGCCAGGTGACTGTGTGTGGGAAGGCAGGAGTCAGGCTTTGGTGGCTGAGCAGGAAGAACACAGCTGAGGAGAGGGTAGAAGAGAAACAAACTTAGGGGAAAGACCAGGAATTTGGGGACCCGTGGATGGAAACGGCAACCAGAGACAGATGCTAGCACAAATGGAATACGTACTGCTGTCTAACACTCAGGTTTCTTATTTTAAAACAGATTTATTTATGCATTACATATAAGCATGCAGACCAGAAGAGGGCACCAGATCTCATTGCAGACGGCTGTGAGCCACCATGTGGTTGCTGGGAATTGAACTCAGGACCTCTGGAAGAGCAGCCAGTGCTCTTAACCTCTGAGCCATCTCTCCAGCCTCAACACTGATGTTTCTTCTTTCTTCCTTTCTTCCTTTCTTTCTTTCTTTCTTTCTTTCTTTCTTTCTTGTTTTCTTTTTGGTTTTCTGAGAGAGGGTTTCTCTGTGAAACAGTCCTGGCTGTCCTGGAAACTCACTCTGTAGACCAGGCTGACCTTGATCTGCCTGCCTCTGCCTCCCGAGTGCAGGGATCAAAGGCATGCACTAACACCCAGCGTGATGCTCCTTAAGACCAGATGACAATGCCTTTTTCTCCACCTGTCACATAAAAATCCACTTGTGAGTTACATAAGTCAGGTCCCTATCACCTAGAACCATGGGCTTACACACACACACAGAGAGAGAGAGAGAGAGAGAGAAGAAGAAGAAGAAGAAGAAGAAGAAGAAGAAGAAGAAGAAGAAGAAGAAGAAGAAGAAGAAGAAGAAGAAGAAGAAGAAGAAGAAGTTTTGTTGGTCAGGGGAAGGGGTTACAGTCCCTTATCACAATCAGCCTTTCTACAACCCATTTCTTGGAGGTTAACAGTAAACTGGAAAAATGTTAATTAGAGCCAACTTTATTGTGCGTGTGTGTGTGTGTGTGTGTGTGTGTGTGCGTGTGCGCGCGCGCAGCCTGAGTATGGAAGTCAAAGGTGTCTGAATATAGGTCCTTGCCTTCCACCTTGTTTGAGACCCAGGCTCCACAGGCCAGTTGGTCAGTAAACTACCTTTATGTAGGTTCCGGAGATGGAAATTCGGGTCCTCACACTTGCAAGCACTTTACCTCCGCAGTCCAGGAAAAGCGGAATGTTTCCAGTTCAAAGCCGCCTGGCCTCAGAGAAGGCTCCTTCCCTCCTCAGCCGCCTTCCTGGAGCCCTGGGAGGCGAACCGGTTGGAGAGGAAGATCCTGGGTGTGCAGTGTGGATCAACAGGCGAGACAACTGCGCATCCACTCTCCTGGAGAAAAGGCGGGAAGGTAGAGGCTGCCGTGTGTGCTAGAGATAGGAGTCTAGGGCTTGGGCGGGATTCTGAGAAGGAGCTTGGAAGAGGCAGACACCCGGAGATCCCGGGTGGAAAGTGGTCACCTTTTCTGCAGCCGGAGCTCTGCCCTCTGAGTTCTTAGCACTTGCAGCACAGGGTCTTCCTGAAACTCGCTGCCATCCGAGTCTGCGGCATGTAAGGCTGGGCTTCAGAAGGTGCCCACAGGGTTTGGTACCACCATCAAGATACCCAAGGGCCCAGGGATCCCCCTCACCTTCCGCAGCCTGCAGAAGCCGTGCGGCCTGGGCTAGCAAGTCCTCGGAGGGGGCGGGGCCTGAGGCAGGCGGAGCCGCGGGCCAGGCGTCGCCGGCTCCCGTCTTGGGCGCGGACCTCTTGAATTCAGGTGTCGGGACCTCTGACAGTGGGAATGCCTCTGGGGTTGTAGCCGCCTGTGGATCCCCAGCTTCAGCCGAGAGGGCGGCTTTGCTTTTCCGAAGCACCGACCGGCCTGGGGAGGACGCAGCCGCGGCTGGGCGGGACTCGGTCCTGGACTCCCGCCGAGACTGGGATGGAGGGCGTGGCCCCTTGGCTTGAGGGGGCGTGGCCCTGGCTTTCTGAGACTCTACCTCGGATGGAGACGGGCTGTCGGGGAACAGCCGAGCTGTCACTACTTGGCCCAGGGCGCCCCTGAGCTGTGAACAGGGACTCTCGGAAGCGGTGGCCCCTGGCTCAGTTGCCTCGTGGGGTGACGATGCGCTGGCCCTCCGAGGTTTGGGACCCAGCTTCTTGGGCCGGGCACAGCTACTCAGCTCAGGGTTGGTTGGCTCCCGAGAAGCGTCAGGTGCTGGGGGTGTAGGGGTAGAAGCCCACGGAGGCGGGGCGGAGGCTGGGGGCACCGAGATGGAGACCTGGGGAGGAGGGACGGGGGCTGGGGCAGCTGGGGCGGTGGTCGCGGGGGCCGGGACCGAGGCCACGGGGGCAGCGGTGGGGGCTAGCACTGCGGTAGGAACCATCCCGAGAGACACCCATGGACTGGCCTGTGGGGCCCAGAGGAACCCATGAGGGCTGGGGGCCCAGATGTGTGCAGAGGGCCCTGGAAAAGGGGGCCTCTCCACGTAGAAGGCCTGTGCGGGAGGAGGCTGGGCCGCGCTGCCCCAAGGTGGAACTCCGCTCGGCTGGGTCCCCGGGGAGCCCAGATTCGCTGCAGGGACAGGAGGAGTCTGCAGATGCAACGAGGTGTCTGAGACAGGAAGGGAGGGTCGGAAGGCCCTCTGTCACCTTCAGGTGACCCTTATCAGTGTCAGGGTTGCAACTCCAACTCACCTGAGTGGTCAGGGCTGGGGTCCGAGGCAACACCCAGGTTCCGTCGCCTGCACCTCCCCGAGCCTGCTCAAGCTTGCGCCGCTGCCTCCACTGGTATAAAATGTCTTCCTCGGGCTGAAGGGAGGCTGGGCGGGAAGCAGGGATGCAGGCCTGGGATGGCACTGCGGCTGCTGGGGGGGGAAGGGGGTAGAGAGGAAAGGGCTGAGGGAATCGTAGGGTGACACCTGAAGGCCACTCTTCTAAGGTACCACAGACTTGTTAAGACAGGCTGCCCGGACATCACCCATCTCCTCTGTGAAACCAGAAGCAGGGTGGGGCTGAGGAAGACCCTTGCAATTCTCTCTTACAATTTTCCTTCGCAGCTTTGACCTGGGTTCAAACTGGCAATCCTCCAGCCTCAGCCTGGACTTATAGGCAAGGGTCACTATACCCAGTTTGTGATTGTACTTGTATTTTTCCTTATTTGTTTTTATGCTTTTGGACCCTATTGTCATCCCAGAAGACAATGGTACCTACCCTTCGTGCTCAGATGTCTCCTGACAGCCAGGTGCCTCCCCAGGCCTCCATGGCAAGGGACTAACCCTCACCAGCTTCTCTACTTGGCTCTACCCCTGGCTCCTGCCTTGATTTACTATGTGTCCCTGGCCAGAACTCACTGTGTCCCCGGCTGATCTCCAACTCGGAGACCTGCTGTCTCTGCCTCCTGAGTGCTAAGACTGAAGGCACACTCTCTGAAACACGCTTCCCTCTCGTTCCTAGGACAGTCTCACACAGCCTGTGCGGGCCTCCAATTCAGGATGGAGCTGGATGGAGCTGGAGCTCTGATCTCCCAGCAGCGCGCTCCGCCATTCCCAGCTTCATGGCTGAAGTCTTCACCTTCCACAGTTCAGCTGCATTGACTTGTGTATAGTATAGATGTGGGTTTGGGCCACACACCAAACCCCAACACACTGAGACCTGGCCAGGCCGTGTAGAATTGCCAAACGGTCAACCATTTTTTGGCCTACAAAAAAGTTCCATATGCCGGGCGGTGGTGGCACATGCCTTTAATCCCCGGCACTGGGGAGGCAGAGGCAGGCGGATCTCTGTGAGTTCGAGACCAGCCTGGTCTACAAGAGCAAGTTCCAGGACAGCATCCAAAACATGACAGAGAAGCCCAGTCTCAAAAAAACAAACAAAAAGGGCATGATGGACATGGTGGTGCACCTCTGTAACCCCAGTGCTGGGGAGGCTGAGGCAGGATTGCCAAGAATTCAAGGCCAGCATGAACTACACATGAGTTCCCAGCCAGCTTAGGAAGCATAGCAAGACCCTGGTTCAAAAAACCAAAGCAAAACAAAACTAAAACCAATAAAGAATGAGTATCTCCTCTAGTCTGTACTACGCCTTCTGATTTTGGGGCTTCCTGTCATAACAGCAGGGAGCGGGGCAGGCCTGTCATGCCTCGCAGACACTGCTGACAGGGCTGTATGAAGGTCCTCTATGTAACCATGAGCTCGTAACACCTGAGTGAGGGGGTCTCATTATTATTCCTGGTTCCTAGGTAAACCAGGCCCAGAGGGGCCAAAATCACACAGCGAGTAAGCGGACACAATGGGACTTAAACCGGGCCACCACCAATTCTTACCTCCCGGCACAGATTCTTTGGGACTAGAATTCTTGTTGGAGTTCGGATTGAAGGTCACAGAGCAGGGAGAGAGGCCATCGGAGCTGACGGGGAAGGAGGAGCAGCTGGCATCGCCGGGACTGAGGGAGGAGGCGGAGGAGAGGGAGGCCTTGCTGCAGGGAGAAGGCACCAGTGAGGAGAGCAGGGACCGACCGGGGACAATGAGAGGGAGAGGGCGAGGGAGGACGTGGGGAGAGGTGTCACCTGCGTTTCAGCAGCTTGGCCGCTCTGCTCTGTAGGCTCAGCGTCTCCAAGTCCAGCAAAGACGAGTTCCACGTGTTCAGGCTCTGAAGAGTGAGAGGGGCCAGAAGCTAGTTCCTGGGCCAAAGGCTGCCGGGAAAGGGGCTCCCTACAGAGGTTATGTTCTCATGGCACTTCTCATGGCAGGGGAGCTCACCGTTCACTTTTCTACCCTGGGAAGAGAGGATCAGTTTCCCTCTTTTGCTCTTGGGGTTTCTATTTTTGAGTCATGATCTTACTTTGTAACCCAGGCTGGCCTTGAACCCTCCACCCTGCTACCTCAGCCATGCCTGTATTGATGGCTTAATGGGAAAGCACTTTCTGTTCAGGTGTAGACCTGAGCTGCATCCCTGGAACCCACACAGAAGTGAAAGAAGAGAATCAAATCCTGAGGGTTGTACTCTGACTCACACACGTCACACACACACACACAGACACACACACACAGACTCATACACACACACATCACACACACAGACACAACCTCACACACAGACACACATACACACACATACGCACACATGTCACACACACATGTGTCACACACACATGTCACACACATGTCACACACATGTCACACACACAGAGACTCACACACACAGACTCATACACACATATACATGTCACACACAGACAGACACACAGACTCACACACAGACACACATGCACACACATACACATACATGTCACACACACACGTCACACTCACATACACACAGACACACACACACACACACACAGACTCATACACAGGCACATGGACATCCGCTACACTTAAAATTTAAAAAGGAAAGATAGAACCTCCCTCCCTGACCACACATGTCTAATGAAAACACTCCATCAAACGGTTCAGTGATTAACTCAGGACAGTGAGTAAGAGACAGCGATGTGGGGCAGGAGAGGCGGCTCAGCCACTAAGATAACGACCGCTCTCCCAAGGATCTAGACCCACCTCCTGCCACACCCATCCCCAAAGGATCTAGACCCACCTCCTGCCACACCCCCCAAAGGATCTAGACCCACCTCCTGCTACACCCCCCAAAGGATCTAGACCCACCTCCTGCCACACCCCTCCCCAAAGGATCTAGACTAACCTCCTGCCACACCCCTCCCCAAAGGATCTAGACCCACCTCCTGCCACACCCCTCCCCAAAGGATCTAGACTCACCTCCTGCCACACCCCTCCCCAAAGGATCTAGACTCACCTCCCGCCACACCCCTCCCCAAAGGATCTAGACTCACCTCCTGCCACACCCCTCCCCAAAGGATCTAGACTCACCTCCTGCCACACCCCTCCCCAAAGGATCTAGACTCACCTCCTGCCACACCCCTCCCCAAAGGATCTAGACTCACCTCCTGCCACACCCCTCCCCAAAGGATCTAGACCCACCTCCTGCCACACCCCTCAAAGGATCTAGACCCACCTCCTGCCACACCCCTCCAAAGGATCTAGACCCACCTCCTGCCACACCCCTCAAAGGATCTAGACCCACCTCCTGCCACACCCCTCAAAGGATCTAGACTCACCTCCTGCCACACCCTCCAAAGGATCTAGACTCACCTCCTGCTACACCCCTCCCCAAAGGATCTAGACTCACCTCCTGCCACACCCCTCAAAGGATCTAGACCCACCTCCTGCCACACCCCTCAAAGGATCTAGACCCACCTCCTGCCACACCCCTCCCCAAAGGATCTAGACCCACCTCCTGCCACACCCCTCCCCAAAGGATCTAGACCCACCTCCTGCTACACCCCCCAAAGGATCTAGACCCACCTCCTGCCACACGCCTCCCCAAAGGATCTAGACTCACCTCCTGCCACACCCCTCCCCAAAGGATCTAGACTCCCCTCCCACCACACCCCTCAAAGGATCTAGACCCACCTCCTGCCACAGCCTCCCCAAAGGATCTAGACCCACCTCCTGCCACACCCTCCCCAAAGGATCTAGACCCACCTCCTGCCACACCCTCCCCAAAGGATCTAGACCCACCTCCTGCCACACCCTCCAAAGGATCTAGACCCACCTCCTGCCACACCCTCCAAAGGATCTAGACCCACCTCCTGCCACACCCTCCAAAGGATCTAGACCCACCTCCTGCCACACCCCTCCCCAAAGGATCTAGACTCACCTCCTGCCACACCCCTCCCCAAAGGATCTAGACCCACCTCCTGCCACACCCCTCCAAAGGATCTAGACTCACCTCCTGCCACACCCTCCAAAGGATCTAGACCCACCTCCTGCCACACCCCCCAAAGGATCTAGACCCACCTCCTGCCACACCCCTCCCAAAGGATCTAGACCCACCTCCTGCCACACCCCTCCCCAAAGGATCTAGACCCACCTCCTGCCACACCCCTCCAAAGGATCTAGACCCACCTCCTGCCACACCCTCCAAAGGATCTAGACCCACCTCCTGCTACACCCCCCCAAAGGATCTAGACCCACCTCCTGCCACACCCCTCCCCAAAGGATCTAGACTCACCTCCTGCCACACCCCTCCCCAAAGGATCTAGACCCACCTCCTGCCATACCCCTCAAAGGATCTAGACTCACCTCCTGCCACACCCTCCAAAGGATCTAGACTCACCTCCTGCCATACCCCCCAAAGGATCTAGACCCACCTCCTGCCACACCCCTCAAAGGATCTAGACCCACCTCCTGCCACACCCTCCAAAGGATCTAGACCCACCTCCTGCCACACGCCTCCCCAAAGGATCTAGACCCACTTCCTGCCACACCCCTCCCCAAAGGATCTAGACTCACCTCCTGCCACACCCCTCAAAGGATCTAGACCCACCTCCTGCCACACCCCTCAAAGGATCTAGACCCACCTCCTGCCACACCCCTCAAAGGATCTAGACCCACCTCCTGCCACACGCCTCCCCAAAGGATCTAGACCCACTTCCTGCCACACCCCTCCCCAAAGGATCTAGACTCACCTCCTGCCACACCCCTCAAAGGATCTAGACCCACCTCCTGCCACACCCCTCCCCAAAGGATCTAGACTCCCCTCCCGCCACATCCCTCCCCAGTGGACCGAAATCCCCTGAAACTGAGTCAGCATGCCTTTTCTCCCTAATTTCTGTCAAGTGTTTTGGTCGCAGCAACATGAACACAACGAATACACATGCACATCTACTTTTAGAGTTCAAAATTGCATTTAACGTGCAAATCCTTTTGTTAGATTTTATTACTGATTTTTTGAGATAGGACATCATATAGCCCAGGGCAGCCTCAAACTCCGTTTTTAGCCGAGGGTCACCTTAGCTTCTGATCCCAGGTGCTGAGATTACAGCTGTGAGCCACCAGGCCAGCTTACGCTACATGCTGGGCTGTCTACCTGCTAGGCAAGCACTTTTCCAAGCGAGCCACACCTCCCTGTCCACAAACCCTTTTTGTTTATGATTCCTTAAGTCGGCCATTGTCTCTAAGTCTGTCCCAGGGCTGGTTCTGTCAAGCAGGCACGCAGGAGAGCGAGAAGGTAGCAGTGTCACCTGCTTCACTTTCTGAAGAGGAGCTGAAGCCGGGGATGCAGTACACGTCCCGGTGGGGGATGGACCTGTCATGGCGGGTCTTCCTTCAGGTCCACCAGCTCCTGCTGGGAAACCTCACACGAGTCACAGGGACCGGGAAGAGCGCGGCTGCGGGCACTGAGCAGGGGAGGTCTCAGGTACCTGTTGCGAGGTAGCTGCTGACGGCTGACGAGTTGGGCTGTAGCCACCAGAAGTCAGCTGGGGTGGGGCCGGCAGGCTGGCGTTCCTCTCGGCTCGTGGGCTGAGCTTGGCGGAACCTGTTGATGTACCTGTGAGCACCCATCCGGGTGACAAGCAGAGGGAAGAAGGGAACCGAACAGTGATAACAGAGATTATCACGACAGCAGCGGGCACTCTGCTCTGCTCTTCCGTTTATCAAGTGCCGTGGAAAGCTGTGCTCAGTGGCCCAGATAAAAATAACTGCTTGTGCCAGCAGTGGTGGCACTGGCCTTTAATCCCAACCGTGGGGGGTGAGTGTAGGGAGGGCAGGGACAGGCAGATCTTTGAGTTCGAGGCCAGCTTGGTCTACAGAGTGAGTTCCAGGATGGCCATGACTACACAGAGGAACCCTGTCTTGAGAAACCAACCAAATAAATAAATAAATAACTGCTTTCTTCAAATCTACCAAAAGCAAGAACTTGGCCTTAAATATCCATTTCTCTTTCTTATATAGTAATATAATCTTAATTTTTTTTTACATTTTATTCTGTAAAAAATTGAATTTTTTTGTTGAAACAGGGTTTCTTTGTTTAGCCTTGCTGGAACTTGCTCTGTAGATCAAGCTGGTCTCAAATCCACAGTTCTTCCTGCCTTTGCCTCCTGAATGCTGGGATTAGAGACATGCACCACACCTGGCCGTATATGTTCTTTTTCACACTTGATGTGTACGAGGACAGCACACACGCCACGGAAGACAACTTTGTGTGGTCAGTTCTCCCTTTCCATTTTCATGTGGGGTCTTGGGATCAAACTGAGGTTGCTAAGGCTTTTTGTAGCAAATGCTTTTGCCCACTGAGCCATCTTGCTGGCCCCTTGTTTTTGTGTGTGTGTGTTTGTTTGTTTGTACAAACGAAGGTATCATTTAGCTCAGACTGATCTTGAACTCACTATGTAGCTGAGGGTGACCTTGAACTTCTGATCCTTCTGCCGCTACCTTTCTGAGACTACAGGCATATGTCGCTATGGCTCTGGGAATCAAACCAAGGGCACTGTGCAGGCTAAACAGGCCCTCTAACAGTTCAGCTATGCCATCAGCCAGACTGGCTCTTGACCAACAAAGAATAAGGGATCATGATTCTAGAAAAGCAATGTCAGTGACTTAGGCTATGAAGGAGAGGAGACAGAACACCAATAAGATAGACGGAAGCTACGTTCCTAACGCCTTAGATAGGGACTGCAATGCCATCCCTCGTTGCTTCTGTCTGAGCCACTAAATGAGGGAGAAGTAAATGGTCAAGCCATAATTAATCTGGGACCCTGGTACAGATACAAATACTCATTCTACGACGGTTGTTCTTTCAGATTATATAGAGGAGCTGAGGATTCGAAACAGCCTCAGTGCATGTGTATGATTAATATTCCCAGTTCAAGGACATCGAGACCAAAGCAATAGAGAGAATACGTTAACAGAGGCAGGATTTGTCTAGCTCCAGACCCCTCAATAATACACTCGAAGTGCCTGGTCCTGAAAGAGAACGTATATAGACAGCTCTGTCTCTGATAGCTATTATGGGATGCCCTCTTCCTTCCTTTAACCCCGCTCCTTCCCCCCTCCCCAGGGACTCCGGTACTTACTTGGCCACCACCGAGTCTCCACCGTCCATTACAGGGAGTGGAGGAGAGGTACTTTGTCCCTCTGTGCTCAGTGGGGAAGGGGTCCCTGAACTGGATGGCCAGGATGCCTCAGACAGCTCAGGGGAATCGGCTGCTGTGGCCTTGGGAGCTTGTGACCTTAGAGACCTGGATGGACCCAGGCTTTAAATCGGGAGACAAAGAAGAAAACGTTAAGTCAAAAGGGTGATATCTATGGGGAATGAACACACATAGGCAGTCTAAACGAGTGGGCATCCAGCCGGGCGGTGGTGGTGCACGCCTTCAATCCCAGCACTCGGGAGGCAGAGGCAGGCAGATCTCTGTGAGTTTGAGGCCAGCCTGGTCTACAGGGCGAGTTCCAGGACAGCTTCCAAAAAACAATACAGAGAAACCCTGTCTCAGGGGGGAGGGGGGAAAGGGGGAGGATATCCCACACTGGAAGGTTCATTAAGAGTCTAAGCGGGGCTGTGGTTGGAGATCTGGGAATGGGAGCTGGGAATGGCTGGTCACCACAGGCGGCCAGGGGGGTTTCTCTTAATTGCTCCTCCCCATTTCCATCGCATGCCCCTTCCTTCCTTCCTTCCTTCCTTCCTTCCTTCCTTCCTTCCTTCCATTTCCTGCTATTAGCCTGAGGCACCAAACTTTATGTGAAGCATGTCCTCACCTTGGGGCCCCAGTCCTGGCTTCTTGATGGCCGGTAGGGTGGCCCACCCTGGGGAACATTTCCGAAGGGGTTGTCTTGGGTAGTGACTGACGGGCTTCGGAAGAAGCAGGGCACGGTAATAAGAGAACAGAAGCTGACAATTCCCAGGGATTACTTGAAGAGATGGACTACAATTCCCACGAATCATCACTTCCTAATCAAGCATGATTCCCCTGACCTCCTGAAAGACTCCCGAGAACCTAGGAACTGACTGGCAGCTGGTAGTTCTCAACTCTGGATCCAGCCTAGGCGGAGCTTTGTTTGTTTGTTTGTTTTGAGACCCGAGTTCAAATCCACCCAGGCGGGAGGTGGATACGGGACAGTCTCCCAAAAGCTTGTAGGCCAGCTAGCCTGCAGCACATCAAAGAGACCCTGTCTCACCACGTCGAGAGATGGGGCTGGCACTTGCTGGGTTCCTCAGCTGGGGAGTGGAGAGGGTGTTTGGGGGGAATGGCAGACACCCGAGGCTGTCCGATTTCCACATAGTGCGCTCACACACACGTACACACAGAAACAGATGCCCTCACACACAAGGGCTACTTAGAGAGACCTTGTCTCAACACAAGAACAGCATAGCTTCACGGTCCCACTCCAGGCTAACCGGAATCAGAGTGTCAGTAAACGGGCTACACACTGCATCTTCTCCAGACTGTCCAGACAATGGAAAAAGAAAGGTCTATCTGTTTGTATTTTGTGCGCATGGGAGCTACACCTGTATGTGTCTGTGCACTACATATCTGTGCGATGGCCCTCCAAGGCCAGAAGAAAGTGTGGACTCCCCTGAAATTAGCACGTTACAGCCACGTGGGAGCCGAGAATCGAACCTGGGCCTCTGGAGGGCCAGCCACTGCCTCTGAACTCCCGGCCCTTTCTCCAGCTCCATCCAGGTAAAATATGGTCTATTGTTTTGTTTTGTTTTTTAACTGACACATGTCAGCTGTACACGTTTATAAGGTACAGTATATTTTAATACTTATATTCAGTGTGTTATGATCAAATCAAGGTAATTGATTCCCATCTCATTCACGGAGCTCCAGTGAAGACCACGACTAAAACACAAGTAATTCATTAGCCAGGCGTGGTGGCGCACAAGTTTAACCCGAGAACTCAGGAGGTCGAGGCTGGCGGATCTCTGGGTTCGAGGCTAGCCTGGTCTAGGGAATGAGTGCCAAGACAACCAAGGCAGAGAAACCCTGTCTCGAGGGGAAGAAAAGTAAAGAGAAAGAGGCAAAAATATAACAACAACAAAGAACTCGACTAAACCGTACTCAGCACGTTTCCGGTTAAACCTGTTAAGGGGAGGGGGAGGTGGCGGCCAGACACACCCAATGAGGGAAGGGGGTACTTGGACTACAATCCCCATGATCCACCGGGACCCTCCTAAGCGAGAAAGTTCAAAGACGACACCCACGGATGTCAGGGGAAATCTGGAAGCCGACAAACTTAAATTTTCAAGTTCCTTCTAGACTCCATTACGTCCACCCAGAGAGAACAAAAAGACATGAGGTCCCCGGGGATGGGGAAGTTTACTGTTGGCGCTCCCAAACCCGCGTAGCATCTTGGGAGTTGTAGTTCCAGTGCGGTTGGGCTGGAGACCCCCCCCACGTGCTGCCTTTCCCGGGCTTCCCGTGATCTCCGAGAAAGAAAGGGACCAACCTCACCTGCAGTCCATCCCGCATTTCCCTCGGCGTTAGTGCCGGCTGAGCTCCCCAGCGGGACAGCGCGACGCCGGCCCGCCTCCCTTAGTAACGCGGTCAGCTCCGCCCCTTCCCAAGGCGACCAATGACAGACTAGAAAAACAAAAGTGGCTGGAAAGGCGGCCCTGCTGAGAGCGCGCGTTCGATTGCAGACGGGGAGCGTGCGGCAGTAATTGGCAAGACCGCGGACCAATAGCAAGGGTCAGAGGCTGGCCCGAAGCCTGGAAGAGAGCCGGGCGTGCTGGCTTTTTTCCCCCTAACCGCCGGGATGGCTCCGGGAGCTCAGGCCGGGCTCCGGCTTCGCTGCTGTGGCAGGGCTAACCGGGCACGTCTGTCTTCGCTCTGCCACATCAGTTGGGCCGGCAAGCCCGTCCTCGCGGTCACCTTAACCACTTTCCTCTTGTTACGGAGCAGCTGGTCTCACTCCTTGCCAGACCTGGGCACCCGGCCGGAGCAGTGGGATCAAAACGAGCTATTTCTGGCCCTGGCGCGCAGCCCCTGGGGGCCAACCTGGAGTGTTCACGCTCACGCCCCCCCCCCGGCCGCTGAGCACCCGAGGCTGAGTCAGAGGCACAGAATTAGGCCCGACCTACGCTGGGACAGGGTCTGTTCTGTGTCCTCCTGACACAGCCTGGCGTGCCTGCAGCATTCTCCAGGAATCTGGTACCAAGACTGGGTGGGGCGTTATCCTCGGAGTTGCCAGCCGGGCGGAGATGGATCAAGAGGACTTTGGTGGACTTCTCGGAGGGGGGGCGGTTCCCCAACTGCCACAGTGGCTCGCCACACCTATAAGGGGGTCTGCGTCCTCCTAAGCCTTAGCTTCCCCTTCTAGAAATGGAAAAAGACCTAATGACAGTGCCCTGGTGTCCTTTTCCAGGCACCCAGCAGGCAAGTTACAATAACTAGCCAAGTCATTATTGAAGTTTCTAAATAAGGCATACCAATGGCCGAGTCTGGCCTCGATCCCAGTGTCCCTGGGAGGCCCGCCGCGGGTGCCGCACCGGGCGCAGTATAAATCGGAGGGTGCGTGTGCTTGGGCACTGCGGAGCCCAGGGCGGCAGCGGAGGAGCGGAATGGAGATCCCGGTACCTGTGCAGCCGTCTTGGCTGCGCCGCGCTTCAGCTCCTGTACCTGGCTTTGCCGCTCCGGGACGCCTCTTTGACCAGCGTTTCGGCGAGGGGCTGCTGGAGGCTGAACTGGCTTCGCTGTGCCCCGCCACGATCGCCCCCTACTATCTGCGCGCCCCCAGTGTGGCGCTGCCCACGGCACAGGTGCCAAGCCTGGGGAGAGGGACGACTCAACTACTGACAAAGACTAGCGGCGCTCTGGTTGGCCCCGGGGCAGGGTTGCGGGAATGTCTGTGGGTCTGGGGCTTAGGGGAGAATGCCACCCTTCAGAGAGGGTCACTGGGAGTCCTCTGAGTGTGGCGTCCTGACGAGGCTAGGCTACTGTTGCCTGCCCTAAGGGTGGAGGGGTGAGGGGAGGGAGGGTGTGGAAGGACTGGGTCCCTATCTCAGGAGGACTGAAGGAGGCAGGTGACCTGGGGAAAAGGACAGTGAGTCCTGGAGGGTTGGAAAGCTCTTAAGGCTGTGTGTGGTGATGCCGCATTAACTGGATGGGTCAGGTGACCCGATGAAGTGGGTCTTGGGTACTTTAAAGCCGGGAAGGGTACCCATAAATGCAGAGGGCACGGGAGAGCCCGTGCGTGACCCCAGAACGCTGGAGACGGGGAAATGGCATCTTGTTTGCTAGCACCGTGAGGAATAGGAGGTCTCGCTCGTAGCGGAGGGGCGATGGCTGTGGAGCCAGTGACATGCGGTGGGGTACAGGGTGCTAACTTGGTCACCCTAAGAATGGGGAGCTGAGGAGGGCGGGCCCAGTGTCTACAAGGGGAGGGAGGTAGCCGGTGCTTTGCGTCTGAGTTTGAGGCTCTGGTGACTCAGCAGCACCGGAACCTACAAGGAGCAGGGGGTGCCGAGTCCCAGGAGCTGAGCGCCTACCCCATGGCAGCCCTCGCCCGCTGTGTGCAGGTACCCGCAGACCCTGGGCATTTCTCCGTGCTGCTGGATGTGAAGCACTTCGCACCGGAGGAAATCTCCGTCAAGGTGGTTGGCGGCCATGTGGAGGTCCACGCACGACATGAGGAGCGCCCGGTAGGCCTGCGGGCCAGGTGGGGCAGCGGGGCTGGGTAGGAGGGTGGGACGCTCAAGCCCATTTCCCTCCCCAGGATGAACATGGATTCATTGCTCGAGAGTTCCACCGCCGCTACCTCCTGCCTCCCGGTGTGGACCCTGCAGCTGTGACCTCGGCGCTGTCTCCTGAGGGGGTCCTATCCATCCAGGCCACACCAGTGTCGCCTCAAGCCCCACTTCCACCACCACCTGCTGCCAAGTAGGGGTCCAGGAATGCCAGGACCGAACCTGGGAAGCCTTTTGGGGCTCCCTTTTAAAAGCCGATCTGACTCCGCTGCCCAGCCAGAAGTCCCAATCGCTGTCAAGACAGTTCCTCCCAAGCAAGTCTAGATGTCGTCCCCTAGGCCCTTTCCACCCAAAACCCCACCTGCACCGCCTTAGTAAGCAAGGCGCCCTCTAAGCCCGGCGCCCCCCCCCAGCCTTCAGGCCCCTCCCATACGCCTCTCTAGGAACAACACCCGCCTTGGCCTAGACTCCCACCTGACTGACGCCACCACCAGGCCCCCTATTGTACTTGTACGTTGTAGAACACCCACACTGACACCGCAGTACAATGTAGATAACACCCCCTCCGCTCCAGGCCTCTCCTAATTCCCCACAATGACCCGTGGGCTAGCCAGTCTGACCCAGACTGCATGAGCCTTCCACATCAGAACATTCTAGCCTGGCCCACCAGTCTCTAGACCCTGTCCTTGCAACCTAACTCTCCTCTGCCCCTAGGCCATTTTCTGACTTCAGACTCCAGGAGCCTGAGTTCCTGAATCCGGTTCCCACTTCCCAATCCTTGGAAGTCTATTCCCAACCAACCAGAACCCCCAAAGTCAAATTGTACAGATACCCCAGCTCCCCCAGTTTCTAGGCCAATGAACCAGAACCCTCAAGTTCCTTTGTCCTGACCCCCCACCTGCAGCCAGGTATCCTAGGCAACCACCTCCACACTAACAACCTGCAAGGTCAGTCACACCCTGTCACCTCATGCCCTTCCTACAACCAGCCCCCAATAAATGCACAAGAGATTCATCAGCTGCCTTATGTCTGGGCCGGAAGAATGGGCTAGGAGCAGGTTTATTGGGTGGGGGCCGGGACGTCACTGCCGATCATACATCTCTCGCAGGATCTTCATGCTCTCTGAGTAACGGAGCTGGTTCCGATGAGATGCCTCCTTCCACCTAGGGCGGTAAGGTAAAGGAGGATTTAGCAGCTGCTGCAGAGGACTCGGAGACAGGGAGCAAGCGGGACAGGGCGCTCACCTCTGGCGAATGCGTTTCCAGCGCTGCATGTTGCGGTAGATGAGCGTAGAAGGAGAAGGCTCAGGCTCGGAAGGCTGCATGGACAAAAGCCCCAGCTTGGTGGCCATGCCCCGGCCTGCCAACACCATGCCCTGAAGTTCCAGGCCAGCTTTGTATACCTACTTCATCATCGGGGGTACCCTGGCTCTCAGGGTGCAGTGGGGACGGAATTCGGGATCTGCAGGCATCTCCAGGTGGTCCAGGGGCTGTGGGTGGAGGCAGCTTGTACACGTCACGACCTTTGCTGTTAATGACCTCTGAACCCTAGGGAGACCAAGCCCCATTGTGAGGCCCAAGAGTCAGAGCAGAGGGTTGAGAGTCCACGTCATCCCTCCTACCTTTCCCAGTGACACAGACATGAGGGGTCTGCCCAGAAACCTGTACTTGGAGGGCTCACAGCGAGGGACACATACCTTTACCAGCTAGAGGATGGTCTTCCTGTTCTAGGGACCAGGTCTTCTGGTCAGCCTGAGAACCCTTGTCTACCCTTGCCAAACCCTGGGAATGCCATCTACACCTGTCAGCCCAAGGTGGGGGTCAAGATGCCTGCCTTACGCTACTGTCCATGGGGCATAATATCCACTCTTATCCTGACAAGGGTCAAATAAAATCATGTTCCAGGGATCCCCGTCTATCCTCTTAGGCCAGATGACTTCCAAACCCCGTTACCCTCCACCCCGCCCACAGGGTCCACCATTGCTTACCAAGGCATCTGTTTGCACTAAAGATCCCTGCTTAGTCCTTTCTTGGAATTCCTGTTCCCCGGGAAGCCGTATCTATCCGACCTAATGACCTCTGCCCACATTATATTCCTCTCCTAATGACACACAGCTGTGTGTCCTACCTGACTCTCACTTAGGGGACCCAGAGATTATACCTAGCTACCACTAACGGGGGGGGGGTTGAGCCTATCCGCCCACTGCTCTCTCTGGCCTCTGGGGCAGGACCCAACGCTCATCCCACCTCCTCGTCCTCAGGCAGAGGGGGCAGCGGTGAGCTGGGTGACCGCTCCCGCTCTCGCTCCCGCACTGAGGGGCTGTTGCGCATCCAGGCACGGCAGATGGGGTACAATGGTGTGTTCTCACTGAACTGGGCCAAATCCACACTCCGGTCAAACAGCTTGATCACATATGTGTCTGGGGTGGTGAGCGGGACAGGAGTGAGCACCCTTACTTAGTCCCTGGCTCCATGCCCACCCTCTCGGGCCCCTGCCTACTCACTGGATCTCTGAGGACCCCCCTCGGCCAGCCCATCGTCCATCTCCCTCCTCTTCTTCCTCCGCTGGTGGGGGAAGCGGGCAGATGGCCTGCATGGTGAAGGGGAGAGTCAGACCCAGAGCTGGGGGCCCGGAACCTTGAGTGGGCGGGGCCTGTCACCTCACCTTTTGCCAGTGGCAGCGATGGAGCAATCCCTGCAGGGAGAGACAGGGCATCAGCAGGCGGGGCCTTTAATCAACGCCTGCTCAACACCCCCACCCCAAGGCGGAGGTGATGCAGGTCAGCAATAGAGCATTTGCACAGCATGGGCAAAAGCCCGGGTGTTCAATCCCTAGCACTGAAAACAAACGAAAATGGGCATCCTGGGGTTTACTGGTACCACTCAGGTCTTGTATCCCACGAACAACCCCGAGGTGTTAGCCACTTACTCCATAGGCATCTCTGCTCACATGACATGGTTAGGACTCAGAGGAGGGAAAAGTTACCTAACCCACACTCTCGGGTCTTAACCCTTACTTGTGTGTATCCAAGGGTGTCTTCCCAGCATCTTCATCTAGACGTTCCCTGAGAGCAAAATAAGCACTATTGGTTTGGGGTGCCAAGAGCCCAGAGTTTGATGATAATGAGTTGTCTCCCCCAGGGAACGCTTTTCTCCCTAACTCAGCCTCAAGGCTCCCGTGTAGGTCCCCACCACAATCAGAGAGTCCAAACACAGTGCCCACCCTTGTGGTCCCCCAGGCTGGACCAGACCCCAACCTGTCCATGTGACTCTTCTCCAGCAGACACTGAAGAACGGCATCCAGCTGGTTCCGGGCCTTGGCCATCTCCATCTCTGGGGGCAGAAGGCACAGGGTAGGGTCAGTCCCGTGCACACACTGCACAGCCTCTGTGAGAGGCAGTCCTCTGTCTGGTCCAGCGCATGGCAAGCGGCGGAGAGACAGGCTGCAGACAGAACTGGGGTAACTGAGCCTTAGGCAGGGGTCCAGAGTGAGGCTGCCACCACCGCTCATTCTGTTAGCTTCTCTGCCAACACAACACCACCTTAAGAAAGCATGATCTGGATCTTTCCACTGGTCCTGTGCTAGGACTCACTCTAAACCTACCCCCCCACCCCCCCTGCTTCCCAGACTCCCACCGTGAAGAGTGAGCCACCAATCCACAGGCTCCTGGACTCCTGGGTTCTCCTTTCCCTTCCTGGTCTCAGCCCACTGGGCTGCCTGAGTGTCTACCCATGGATCCCCTCCCTACCCTGCCCTTCCCTCCCACTCAGCTCCTACACATTCTCCTTCCTGAAAGAAAGGCATGCCTAGCCACACTGGCATATGTCTGCTCTCCCAGCACTCTGGAGGCTGAGGCTGGAGGATCAAGTTCAAGGCCAGCCTCAGCTACATGAGACCCTGTTTCAAATAATAAGCCAAGCAAAGAAAAAAATAAATAAAAACAGCCAATTTGGCTTTGATCTAACCCTTCAGGAGTCTACAACCCTGACCCCAGAAAACGGGGTCTGTACTCAGCCTGGCGTTCCCAAGCTCACCCTGTCCTAGCTGCATACTGTGACAAGGCTTCTTCCACTCTTTAGAAAGTACCGTTTCTCTCACCATGTAGCCCTGGGATGGCTTGACATTTGCTACACAGACCAAAATGGCTTGAGTTCAGAGATGTGTCTGCTTCTGCTTTCCATGTACTGGGGTGAAAGGCGTTTGCCAACACACAGCCGCCTTTACTATTCAACTCACAAGTTTTGTTGTTGTTGGACTGTAGGTCGGATTTTTGTTTTGTTTTTGGCATTTTGTGGTACATCCTTACCAACTCACTCCTCGGTACAAAAACCTCCCTAGACTATACATTTTCCTCAGAGGAAAGGTCAAAAGTCCCTTCCTAGACCCACAGATTTCTCCTCCTCCCTAGGACTTCTTTTCCTCCATCTCGTCATTGCCACAGCCACCCTGGGCTCCCCACAGCCGCCCTGACCTCCCCACGGCCACCCTGGGCTCCCCGCGGCCACCCTGACCTCCCCACGGTCACCCTGACCTCCCCACGGTCACCCTGACCTCCCCACGGTCACCCTGACCTCCCCACGGCCACCCTGGCCTCCCCACGGCCACCCTGGCCTCCCCACCGCTCCCTTGGTTCCACCGGCCATTCCCTCACATAGCCGCTTCCAATTGCCTTTTCTTCCCACCGTGTGTATTTTTCTCATGGCGTGTGTGTCTCACGATGCCCGACAGACCCTGATAACCTGGGATCCCGTTATTGCCTTGTTTGATTAGCTGTGACTACAGGGAGCACCGCACCAGGGTCTGGCTTTACTTATGTTTAGGGCTGGGGATAGAATTGCACCTATACATCCCCCGGTCTTGTCTTCCATAACACCTATCCCATTTAACGCCCCGCATCACTATTAACTACTGACCACCTTTTCTTCCTGGATTCTGTACCGCCCTCCTCACTGCCCTGGACCGTGCCGTTCTAGCGCTCCTCCCTGGCTCTGCCTGAGCCTCGGCTTGCTCCTCCGTCCGTCCACCACACTTCCTAGCTTACTGGAATGCAGCAACTGGGAACGGATGCCCTGCACTTCTGGGTCACACCCCACAACTGCCGACTCCTGGCCACTGTGCCAGAAATGGGGAACCGAGGTAGAACAAGAAAGGGACCCTTCTTAGTTAGGACCAGGGGGTTCCGGACCCGAAGTCTTACGACCACCACAGAGCCGGAACCAGCACTGCTCAACCTCAAAAGCTACTCTGGGCACAGCCCGGGATGGCGCGAAGGCGGCCGCGCTCCGTGCGTCTGTCAGATGGGCTGCAGAGTTCGCGACAGCCCGCGTCCCTCGGGGATCCCGGCTCCCCAGCTCTCACCTGATTTCTCCACTTTTACCTTTACCGGGAACATGGTTTGGGTCCGGGTCTAAGTCGCTGGATCAGAAGAACTTAGGGGCGGGATTCGCAAGCCAAGGCGGGAGGCGGGCAGGAGAAGGTCAAAGGTAAGCCTGGGTACCCCCCCCCTGGCCTTCGGGCCCGAGCCCAGTCCAGCCGCGGCTGCCTCGGCCACCGCTTCCCTCCTGTCCCTTCTGCAGGCGGGCCCCTGCGGCAGCCGCTGCCCCCCATTAGTCCATGGAAACGTCAGTCTTACTCGCTGGCCAATTGACAGCCTGTACTATTGGTTCTCCGGCCTTAAGTCCCACCTCCCCGAGGCCCCGTTTCCGGAAACAAACCAACGACAACCCAGGCAACTGGGGGCTGGGGGGGGGGCGGGGGGCGGAGTGGGAGTCGTGCAATTCAAACTTCCGAGGCTCAGCGAGGCGGTGACACCGCCTGCGCCGCGCGGAGCACTGTGGGACGCAAGAGGGCAAGGCTTCTCGGGATTTGTAGTTTTGTATTTTGGTGTCGTCAACAGATCCATTTATAGCTTTGAACTAACTACGGTAGATCGCTGTCGCCGAGATCCCTAAGAGGAAGACCAATCTGGAATTGCACTGACTCCTCTCTTACAGAGAGCTCTCTGGGCATCAATTACCTGCTGCTGTCTTTCTTGAGCAAAATCTCTTTCATTTAAATGTTAAGAGTGCTGGGTGTTCATCCGGATAGACAGTGAGGACCCTGCAATGAACAGAACAGGAAATGTTGCCTTGACCTAATGTGATTTATCTTGTGCAGAATAGAAGATAATCAATAAATACGCCCAAAATTCTAAGTGAAATGTAATAGGAACTAAAAGTGTGCCCTAAAATAGTGATAGGCAACATCGAGGTAGGAGCTGAGATTTTTTTTTCTTTTTTTTCAGTTTTACAAGACAGGGTTTCCTCGTGGCTTTGGAGGCTGTCCTGGAACTCACTACGGAGACCAGGCTGGCCTCGAGTTCGAGGAGATCCGACTGCCTCTGCCTCCCGGGAGCTGGGATTAAAGGCCTGTGCCACCAACATCCGGCAAGAGCTGAGATTTTTATTATATCATTATTTATTACCTCTCACTCTGGCTCAGTCCAGCCTGAAACTGTATGTAACCCAAGCTGGCTTTGAACAAAACCACACCCTGCTGGGCGGTTTGTTTGTTACTTATTTATGAGGGGCTGGGGATGGGAAGGGGCATACATGTGCCATAGCACACCTGTAGAGGTCACAGGTCCACTTACAAGATTCAGGGATCAAACTCAGGCCAGTATTGGCAGCAAGTGCCCCTACCCACTGAGTCATCTCACTAGACCTTCTGCTAAAATTGTATTTTATTGTTTTGGGACTGGGTATCTGTCTGGCTGGGAATTCACAAAAATCTCCATGCCTGTGCTGGGATTATAGCCACCAAAATCATGAATTTTTTTTTTTTTTTGGTTTTTACGAGACAGGGTTTCTCTGGAAGCTATCGGTCCAGCCCGGCCTCAAACTCACAGAGATCCGCCTGCCTCTGCCTCCCGAGTGCTGGGATTAAAGGTGTGTGCCATCACCGGCCGGCTCAAAATCATGAAGTTTTAAATATGAAGATCAAGGGGCCAGAGACATGGCTCACTGGTTAATAAGCTCAGTGGTCAAGGGGACCCAGGTTTGATTCCCAACCTACACGGTGACTCAACAACCGTCTGCAACTACAGTTCCAGAGGGTAAGATGCCCTCTTCTGGCTTCCACGGGCACCTGCATTAAATCACGCATACTTTAATACACACACACACACACACACACACTTAAAAATAAAGGAAGAATGAAAAAGGAAAGTCGGGGAAGCTTTTCTAAGAAAGCTTTTAGATACTTCTCTTGCTGTAGATACCTCCAGAGTCTTGGCTCAGTTGAGTTCTTCCTCGACAGACGATACTAAGACACCAACGTGTCTTCTTTGGTTTGTCCTGGTGGGAATTGAACTTAGCATCTTTCTCAAGCTGAACAAGTTCACCACCAGTGAACTACATCGCAGTTAAGAGCATGGAGATTTTTTGTTTGTCTTTTTGTTGTCCCTGCCCTACCACCAGACGGGGTTTCTCTATGTTAACAGTCTTGGCTGGAACTCGCTCTGTAGACCAGGCTGGCCCCAAACTCACAGAGATCCGCCTGCCTCTGCCTCCCCAGTGCTGGGATTAAGCCACAACCGCCCGGCTGAGAAAGTTGTTGTTTTTAAAATCACGACTACCGCAGGGTGGTGGCGCACGCCTTTAATCCCTGTGAGTTCGAGGCCGGGCTCGACCGATAGCCTCCAAAACAATACAGAGAAACCCTGTCTCGTAAAAACCAAAAAAAGAAAAAAGAAAATCACATCTACCAGTACAGGACAGCAGCCCCGAGGAGTGGAGCGTCATTCCTTTCTTCTTCGCCTGTTAGACAGGGTTCCTAAGCAGGCAACTTCTTATTTCTTATTTCGGAAGGGTCTGAGTGGTCGTCAGTAAGACAAAAATTCATACAATACGTGAAGCACTACGCCTAGCACATGACACGTTCAGTAAGTGGTTTTGAATACTGGCAATCATTTTATTCGTCTTACCTCCAAAAGAACCCAAGAAGTCAGTATTTAAAGTTAGGGTCATTTATTGGGGCAGATGGAAAACGGGGGCCGGACAGTCTTCAGGGTTTGAGGGAAAAAAAAAAACTTAAGGGCCGAGAAGCCCATCCTGGCAGAAAGAACGCATCCCCAGCTTGGGAAGCTGTCAGGGAGTGCCCAGGGGAATGGTGAAGGAGAGGTAGTCCCCAAGAGCACCCCAGCGGGGCCGGTAGATCTGGAAGATGGTGACCCAGGTGGTGAGGACAATTACCCAGAAGAGGAGGCCCACAGCTGACCGCCAAACATCTGTAAAGAATAACATGGGTGGGGAGAGTTGGCCCCCACCCCGGCCACCACCATCAACCTTCCAACCGCGCCCTGGCCTGTTTTGTTTTTTGTTTTGTTTCCTGTTGCCCTAGAACTCACAGCCTTTGATTTGGCTCTGCTCCGTGTAGGCTGGGGCGAAGAAGGCCTCTCTGAAGAACCAGAAAATGTTGACCAACCAAAGAAAAGGCAGGAACGCAAATCCACCTAGGGGGAACAAAAAATATCCGCACTTGGCCAGATGGCAACGAGGACCTGTCCAGATCCCTACCTTGGAAGGTCCTCTCCCTCCCGCGTTCAGTTGGAGACCTCCGCTGCTAGGGCTTGGGAGCTGCGGCTCTCGTCCACGGATCCGGGAAGGATTTCTCTGGACCCGGGTATCCACGAATCCAGGTCCCTACGTCCCCCAGCCTCGGGGCGCCCTAGGCAAGGCCCCCCCCTACCACCTGACACCCTAGGGGGATCGGCCTCACCGAGATAGTACTTCCGGCACAGGTTCAGCTTCTCCTCATTGGACACCCGCTCCAAGTTCATAGCTGCGCTGGAGCCCGGTGCTCCTAAGGGTCCTCGGAGCGAGACCCAAGTGACAGGCGCAAGATCACCAACAACCACGCCCCTGTGACCACAGATTAGACCGAGGAGGGCTTGCCACCAGGAGGGTTAGCACCGAAGTGCCTCGTCCAGCTAGGGTGTGCGAGGAGGCAACGCCCAACTCACCAGGAGTTTATCCTTCCCTCCGGGATTCCTTTTCTCTCTTTAACTGCGGGCGTCTGCGGGAGACGCAAGGCTCATGCGGAGTTTGTAGTCTTTTCTTTTCTTTAAAAAAAAAAAAAAAAAAAATCTCCCCTGCAGGCTACGTTGTACGCAAGCGCCGCCGCTAGGGAACCTGCGCACGGTTGTCGGAGGGGGGGGGGGGAGCGAGGGCAAGCGGGACTCCTGCACGCGTGCGCAGTCGCGGCACAGGCTGGGACAAACTACACTTCCCAGGGCTCCCGGGCAGCGGAAGTGACGCGGGAGCAGGCGCGTTGGAGTGTCCGGGTTAAAAAAAAAATGGCTGAATATTTAGCTTCGATATTCGGGACTGAGAAGGACAAGTGAGAACGGTGGAGGGAGTGGCCTCTCGGGGAGCCGGGGCCCCCGGGTGCCTGCGGGCCGGGCGGGCGGGGCAGCGTCCGTGGGATGCCCGGCGCTCCCGGCCCTCGGTTTACCTCTGTCTTTGCACCTCTTCCAGGGTTAACTGCTCTTTTTACTTTAAGATTGGGGCCTGCCGGCACGGGGACCGGTGCTCCCGGCTTCACAACAAACCGACTTTCAGCCAGGTGAGAGCCAGATTCGGGCTTCCCCGCGCTTCACCCCGCTGCCCATCATCCCGGGGCCCCGCCCCTTCCGGAGTCCTAAAGCCAATCAATCCTACCCTCCCGCTTTCTGACCTGGTCCTCCGGGTAGACCCCGCTCTCGCAGGGCGTGGGCCACGCCCCCCCGCCTCCGTGCGCACAGACCGCGCCCCTTGCCCGTCCCCGGAGTGGCTTCCTAGGAGCTGGCAGGCACGGGTGACCGACTCCGGTGGTTCGCATCCCGCTCACTCCCCGGCCTGCCTGCGGCCCCGCCTTCTGATCTGAGCTCAGGCTTCTTTTCGTTTTGCACAGACCATAGTGCTGCTCAACTTGTACCGGAACCCACAGAACACGGCCCAAACTGCAGATGGATCCCACTGTGAGTAAGGGACCTCACCGCTCCCGGGGCTGGGATAGACGGGCCCCCAGGGGGCTGCGCCCTCATGCCATCCCCTGTCCCCCGCCTCCAGGTCACGTGAGCGACGTGGAGGTACAAGAGCACTATGATAACTTCTTTGAGGTGAGAGTCGCCAGGGTGGCTGGCTGGGTTCCCTGTGCGCCAGACCCCAGCTGAGCCGCTCTCTCCGTCTTCCGCAGGAGGTCTTCACGGAGCTTCAGGAGAAGTATGGAGAGATTGAAGAGATGAACGTGTGTGACAACCTCGGGGACCACCTCGTGGGCAATGTCTACGTTAAGGTGCCTGTTTGCCCCCTGCTTAGAGCCCAGAAGGGGAAGCATTTCGGTGCCTGATGGCCACCACCGAGTCCTCACCGCCTGAGGACTTGTCGCTAAGTCGAGACCGGCCTCAGAGCCGACCAGTGCCCCGAAGATCTTGAACTCCACAGCCCATGGTCACCTCCTTTCCCCTCAGTTCCGCCGGGAGGAGGATGCAGAGCGGGCTGTGGCTGAACTCAATAACCGCTGGTTCAACGGGCAGGCCGTGCATGCGGAGCTGTCTCCTGTCACCGACTTCCGAGAGTCGTGCTGCCGTCAGTACGAGATGGGGTACGCTAGTGGAAGAGCGGGCTGGGCACCGGAGTCTCGGGTGCTTGAGTGTCCGGTAGGGGGTTGTCAGTAATAATGGCCTCCTCTGTCTGTCTGTCTGTCCGTCCGTCCCTAGGGAATGTACCCGAGGTGGCTTCTGCAACTTTATGCACCTACGACCCATCTCCCGGAACCTGCGCCGGCAGCTCTATGGGCGAGGACCCAGGCATAGGTACCTCCGGTCCAGCTTGCCAAGTCCTCCTCTACCCTGAGATGACTCCGATTCTGCTTTTGTGGGCATACCAGTCCGAGGCTTTTGAGCCCTTCCTGGAGAGCAGTACCTTAGTCCCGGTGCCCAAAACAGTGTGAACTCCAAACCCAAGACCAGCCTGAGTACCCACCCTAGAGTGTACCGATCCTGAAATGGCGTTAACAGCCATCCTATACCTGGAAGAATGCTTGCACCACTCCTAACTATTCCCGGTCATCTCTGTCCACTCCTCTTCCCAGGTCGCCCCCAAGATCCCATACAGGCCACCGTCCCCGAGAAAGGAACCGACGCCGCTCCCCAGACCACCGGCATGGTCGCTTCTGAGACTGGTGCTCTTGGCCGTCACCCACGGGCAGGGATGGTCCTGCCCAGGACCCCTTCTCGGAGCAATCCACGTTCCAACTCCATCGTCGCCAGGCTTCAGACAGAGGAACTTCCTCCCCCCACCCCTCCCCTAATAAAGCTTAGGAAGTTTGTCTAACTGAGGTCTGTGGTGTCCTTCCACCCCCACATCTAAGAAAAGGTGCCCGCCCACCATGAGCTCAGTAGATACCTTGGACAGCTGTGGAGGAGGCTTGGAGTTTGGGTCTGCACTCTAAGTCGGACTGCTTTTGTACCCAAACCTTAGATTGTCCATCCTAGGTGCCTTTCGGGGAGAGCTGCCCGTTTGTGGTGGCCTAGAGGGTTCCTAACAGATGGGACTAGTTAAGGAGCGGGAGAGAGGTGGCCGGTGAATCTGCGGAGGGTTAGTCCTGTGGCCACAGCCCTCAGGTGGCAGGCTCTGCCGAGATGGGGCCCAGATGTCTTTTCTGGACAGCCACAGTTCAGGATGTCTCTCGGTTCTGCGGCCAGAGTACCGGAACCCTGAGGATAGGTGCTGCAGCCTCCTGCCTATCCTGGAGAGCTCTAGACGGTGCAGAGATGAGGGCAACTAGCAAGTGTGGGCCTGGGTCTTAGCGCAAGTAAAACTGGACTAAGCCCACGCAGAAAGGATGAGTTAGAAGAGACACAAAGAGCCAGTTTTACCCGGGAGTGGTGGGACTCAGAAAGGGCTTAGGTGGATTTTACAGCGTGGTCAGTGCTTGGTAGAGTGGGCGGGGAAAGGGGTGGGACCTCCTGTGGATTTAGAGAGGAGTAGTCTACCAGCATTGGAGGGAAGTCCTGTGCTAAGATGTACCTCTGGAGCCCATGTCTCCTACTAGACTACGAGCGTATGGAAAACCGCGGACTCAATGTCTTTGGCGATACCCAGCACATCCTTTCAAGAAGTGTTCTTCCGGGTATAGCAACCCCAGTGGCACAGAGCTGTGTAGCCTCCGTAGCAGCAGCAGACACAAGTCCCACATGCATGGAGAGCCATGGTAGAACCCAGAAGCAATGGAGAAAGGTGCTTGAGGCTGGGCTCTGGGCCAGGGCTTGCCGGAGGTGATGCGGGCTGCTGCAGGCTCTATGGGCAAAGCTGGGGCCAGTGGGGGAGCCTCTCTGAAGGGAATGGAGGGGGCCACAGCAGAATTCCCAAGTGGCGTGCCTTAAGGGGATGGGAGGCGTGGGCGGTGGGGGGAGGGGTTGCAGAAGTAGCTCTACTAAGGACCTACGGGTGTGAGGCTTGGGCTGATGAGTCCTCATCCCCCTCTCAAACCTCTCCTCAGAAGCCCATCCCTCCCGGGGATGTCTGCCCTTTGAGAGTTGAAGAAGCAGGAGTCTCTAGCACCCCAGGGCAGACAACCAAGGATGAGGTCTCCAGGCCAGCCTTTGCCCCGCCCTCAGTGCTGTCCCCGCCCATCTTGGCAGTGGTCCCTTTTGCAGACCTCAGTACCTCAGCACACTGGTCCTCTCCAGGCACCCGGGAGGTACCGGGAAGGAGGAACACTGGCCAGACACCTCTGCTGCAACTCTCAAGCCGGGGTTAGTAGGGGGCAGCCCTGCCAGGAGGGAAGATGGCCTCCAAACCCTCCCCTTGACTCCTCCCTGGTTCTCCAGAACTTGAGGGTCTGGTACGTTCTGGAGGAACTGACTACGCTGCTGGGTCCTGAGCCTGGGCCTGGCGGGAGCATGGCTTATGGTACCACATGACACCTGGCTGCAAGATACCTTTGCCTACTCACTGCGGCCCACCCGCTCACCCGAGAGCCCTGATAGAGATGGTGGTAGCGAGGGAGCCGGCTGCTACTCTGGGACAGCTTGGCGTACACCTGGCTCAGCTAGGACGGCCAGATGTACTGCAAGTGCTCTCCCAGCTTGGCTAAGCCAGGCTTTGCCGGGGCTTACTACTCTATCAATAAAACGTCCCTTGAAGCCAATGGCTGCTATCCTCATTAAAGGGGTCTTCTTGAAGTATAATCCTGATGGGGCCCAGTATGAACAGGACCGTATGACTTAGCCACCGCTGGAGTCACTCATCCGTCTGCACTCAACTTACGCATGAAGGTGGACACTAGCGTACTTGCTGATGCCTCCAGACCCTGATTTTGACGCGGCATTCCACATAGTCCAAGCTGGCCTTGAGTCCCATGACTTTGAATTCCTAGACCCTCCTGCATTTACTTACCACGTGCCCATCACCTTGCCTGTTTCTATGGCACCGAGGATCTCATGCAGGTATCAACAAAGCTGTATTTCTAGCCTTGGCCCTCTAATCTGGACTGGGGGCCTCACCAGCCACTGTGGCTTCCTTGGTTACAACCATGTGTCAAGTGGGAAGCGTCCACCAGTCTCCAGCACCATACAAAAGACCAGGGCTGGCAAGATGGCTGAGTGGATAGATAAGACGGCTTACCACACAAGCCTGTGGACCTCTACAGGCACAAGATAGCACATGCACACTAGCATGTATGCACACACACGGCCACCACAATAACAAGATCATGGAAAGACCACCTCTCCAAACATTGACAGACTTTATTGTGTGGGGGGGACTCCCACCTGGGACCCCACCCTCTTAAATAAAAAAGTGCATAGAAAAGAAGGGATTTAGAAACCTTTGTACAATATCTACATCCTGGGTCCCCAGGGCAGGAAGGAGGCAATGGCTGGGTGGGCTGGAGGCAGGGCTCCTGCCCCTACACGCCCACACCCACCACGAACAGGAGTGAGACACAGAGACTAGGGAGCCACAGGTCAGGGCGAGATGGCAGCGGGCACATGAGGGATCTGGGGCGGCCACGCCTCAGTTAAGGAAGCGACGGCAGCGCTTGGCGCCACAGTTGCAGGGCAGCTTGTTGCTGGCATCCTCGATGGGAAACTTGTAGTCATAGGTGAGCTCCTCACCTCGCAGGATGCGGCGCAGGGCGAAGATGACGATGTGTTTCTGGCCCTCCACGTGGATGACGCGGGAGAAGCAGTTGGGCTCGCACGAGTGGTTGATGAAGCGGGCAGCATTCCCGTGCATGGTGGCGTCCACCACATCAAAGTCATCCATGCGGAACATGTAGCACCCGATACCCTGCAGGAACGGGACCAAGGAAGCAGCCTTTGGTCCCTGTAGGCCGGCCCACACCCGCTCACCTCCTACCCTTACGGCACTTACCTTTCCATCATAGAATTTCTCTCGCTTGTCAGTCAGCACAGAGCGAATGACAATGCCAGAGTACTCAATGACCATCTCCCCGGCATCGATGTTGCGTTTACAGAACAGGCCTCGTCCGTGGATAGCGGATCTACAGGGCAGAGTGTGCCATGGGAGAGCTCAGGGGGCGGGGCACAGACGCCGGCAGCTCTCCAGCACGGCATGTATTCATCCACCCAAGGGGCATCCCCACCCCTCAACCAGCTAACCTGTAAACACCCACAGCCTCTTTGGACGTCTTTTTGAGATGGCGGAAGCGCATGGCCATGGGGAGCTCCAGGCTGGTAGCACGTCTGGCAGGGGAGAGCAGTGCCACATGAGTTGGTTTCCAGGAACAACACCCTCCTGAGGACCCTTCACACCAGGCCCAGCACTCCGATTTGCTCTGCCTACCTGGTGGACCGAAGCTGCACCTCATCCTCTTCTTCATCGCAGGTGGCCCCCTCAGGGAGCACCCGATGCTGGGAGGCCAGGAAGTTGAACATGTCAAAGGTGCACTTCCTGCAAGTGGGGGGGAGGAAGGCAGGAGGGTCACAGCCTCTCCAAAGAGATGCTGCCTAGCCATTTTTTCATCTGGGCCAAGGGCTACAGGGCTGAAGACAGCAAAAGATGAGGTGAGTGGGGGTCCACCCTTCTGACATGAAGCCTACGGATTCCTATTCCAGGTGCCTAGTGTCTGTTTCAATCTTCCTAGACTTAATTCTCAACCACTCACCGGAGATAGACCTCGGCCCGGGCAGCCCCATGAGGATTCAGGGGGGGCTCCTCCTGACCCTCTCCCTGCTGGTGGTAGCGGAACTTATAGTGCTGGCAGCGCTGGGCCCCAGGCAGCTGCTCTGCCAGGAAGATGACAGCATCGTGGTGGATGCCCAGAAGCCGCGCTCCACTCATTCCTGATTATGGGGAGAACAAGGCAATCACTTGGAGGGCCCATCTTGCCCTTGCTCCCGGCATTCCTGGGGATGCCTCTTACCACTAAAAGAGAGATGCCTGAGCCGCGCATGCCCTCGAGCCTCTTGTACTTTCTCAATCAGAGTTCTCCACGCCCCTGGAACGAGGCGCCAGAGCAATCAGAATGAGGCGTGAACACTTTCCCCTTCTGCTACTGCTCCCCCAGCTCACCCTCCAAGCTCTCCGCCTCCACACTGAAGCCGTCCTCACTGCTGATCTCAAAGCGCAGGTGTGGGCCAGCTCGTTTCGGAACCTGGTTTTCTTTGTCCTCTGGGGATGGAGGCTCTTCCTCAGAGCTTGAGGCCTCGCCTGCTTCCATTGGGAAGGAAGGATGGGAGAGGATCATCTTCCTGGATTGGAAAGCCACTGCCGCCAGGCTAGTAACAGACATATTTGATCACAGCACTCGGGGGGGCAGAGGCAGGGGATCTCTGTGAGTTGAGGCCAGCCTGGTCTACAGAGTTGAGTTTCAGGACAGTTAGGACTACATAGAAAGAGGCCATGTCTCAATTACAAAAAAAAAAAAAAAAAGGACCCAGTGCCCCTGATTCCCAGTGCCCCTGATCTTTCCCACCCCTAGGCACAAACAGATACCGGGACAGATGGCCCTCCTCCTGGTTCAAGTACCCAATGAGTCCTGCGGCACTGATTTGGGTGTCCTATGGGGCCTGGGAAAACTTCTGCCATAGAGCAGGCGCACAGAAGCATGAAAGCCTGGGCTCTGCAGGCTCACTGAAAGCCAGCACAACATACACAGCTACATACCTATGGCTACCCTCTCTCTGCAACAGACTTTATAGATACTGGACAATTACTTAGTGACGTAAATAATGGGGGGCACTAGGAATTGAACCTAGAGTCTTAGATGTGCAAGGTGAACATTGTATCACCAATCCACTCACCCAGCTCAGTATGCAGTACATGTTTATAGATACTAAAATGTAAAGGCTTAGACATACACATTCAAGTACATGCTATACTATATACCAATGATTCTCAACCTGTGGGACATGACCCTTTTGGGGTCACATATTAGATATTCACATTATGATTCATAACAATAGCAATGAAATAATTTTATGGTTGTGGGTCACCACAACATGAACTGTATTAAAAGGTTACAGCACCAGGAAGGTTGAAACCACTGTTATAAAATATTTAAGGGACTTCTTGGGGACTGTCTGTTTATTTAGTTTTGTCGAGAGTCTTACTGCATTGTCCAGGTTGGCCTTGAACTCAAGAGACCTTGGTGACTCAAACTCACCGAGTAGCTGGGATCACAGACGCACACCGCCTTCAACCACAAAGTGTAAGATAAAGCAAAAAGGACCCCAGATGTAGCGAGCATTGATTGTGACAAAAGAGCCGCTAAGGGTAACCGTGGTCTGGGTCTTGAGCACAGTAAAGGCAAGCTTGCCATCAACTGCCATGGTGAGGACAGGAACACTTGGGGGAAAATCAGGGACTATTTGGGACATGCTAGCCTAGAGTTCTCTAGAAAGTGTCAACCTGTACTCGATAGTGGAGATGGCTAAGCAGCAGAGAGAGGAAGAAGGCACTGAGTTCAGGGAGCGGGCTTGGGCTGCACAAAGTAACGTGGCACTATCAGAACAGATAGGGTCCCAGAAAGCAGGCCGGGGAGCCACACAAACACAAGGCCGGGCCTGGGATGCAGTAACTGAAGGTTGAAAAGAGGCACGACCAGAGGTGAGAGGTTGGAGACGTGGGGTCCTGGAAGCTAGGAAGAAAGTGCTTTGAGGAGGGAGCATCGCGTGTACAGCAAGGCCAGCCACTGCATCTAAGGCAGGGGTAGGACATGACGCAGGAGCAAGACCCGCACGCGCAGTCAGTCAGTACAGCCCTTCTCTTCTCTGGCCAGCCGAGCAGACAGGCCTGACCCCTGCTAGAGAAGTCAGGTCATCTGCAGGCCTCAGGGCCTTCCCTTCATAGCTCCTCCCGCTTCATGAGCACTTCCTGCGTACACCACAGGGACAGCCACAGGGCCCTTCCCCGTTATTCTTTCTATACTGCTTCTCTAAAGTACAGGGGCCTGAGCGGCAGAATGGACAGGAAGTGCACGTCATCATCACCACCACACCTTCACGGCCGGCTGATGCCTGAGTCCACTTGGCTTTAATTTGGTGCTCCTGGCCTAGCTCAACACACCCCTGGACAGGACTGGGTCGCACAAACACAAACCCGGCCTGCCCACCAGCTTACCTGGCTGTTCCAATGAGTGACCCCAGAGGCCACCAGACAGCCTCACTTGCAGTCCCACCAAGTCTAACGGACAAAAACCAGTCTAGCCCCCACCTGTGACCCAACCTGCAGGCACACCTGCCAGCCAGCTTTTTCTCCTACCCCACAAGTCACCTGCTCAAACCTGACCACTCTTCTCCCTGTCCTGCCCCTCAACCGCCACCCCTCCCCCTCCCCTGGGCTTTGAAGTCGCAGGCCTCATAGCCTCAAGCTCTTTGACCCGCTGCCCTACCTCCTCCTGAAGCTCAGCTCAACTCTTGGCCAGCTGCCTGGGCTCTGCTCTGGCTTGTCACCAACCACTATCTTAAACACCCTGCCCGCCCGATGCCACCTGCCCCTGCGCTCTGCCAATCCAGGACTCACGGGCCTGGTCTGGAGGCTCACTGTGGCCAGTGAATTGCTGACAACTCCATCCCTGGCCCCTGGAACCCCAGACTCTTCTGATCTTCCCACTTCCTGTCCCTCACCCTT